GTGAAACTAATATATGAGATAGACTCATTACATATGAACAAAGTGGTAGGTGAATAGGATGTACATCCCCACAAAAGGGGGGGGGGGGGGGGATTAATAGCTTATAGAAGGAAGATAACATTGTTTAATACTTTTAGTGAAGCTCACAGGAAGTGACAAGGACACGACATTTCTGGCAGGATTGACAGGTATTTGCTGCACTTGCTGAAAAAGTAATTAGCCTGGAAATAGTGATAGGCGGCCCGGATGGGGATCTAGTTTGCTCATTCTTCCCCATTAGTTTCTTTAGCGTTTTTCAGCCCCCTCTTCCTCTATGTACTCACGCGTTTCTACTTTTCTGGCCTAACTAGACCTTCCTTCTCCCCATACTTATTTTCTGTCCCTATCACATCCCTACTCATTAGGACATGTGTAAACTCTCAATGGGGGATTGCCTTCTTATGCACAGGGACGGACTTCTATCCCTATAACGGACCTTACTACCTGCCCACTATTGGCTCGTGTTACTTCCTGTAATTATGATTCCGGCTCATATATGAGGGACAACTATGGTCACTCTCTGCTCTTTGATTTTGTGCCGATGTTAGATGTACTGTATATATATTATTACTTCCCTTTCTGGTCACTATTTGCTATTGTTCTATTTTTCTTTCTCTTCTATTCTACGTCCTTCTTGTTCCTGTTCCTTGTTTTTATATATATTACGGAAAATGTTCTATCATGCTTACCGGAATTTTCCTTTCCTGGCTCCTCCTCATGTCAGCCACACGGTAGGCTGACATGAGGAGGGCCTGTAAATATATATATATATATGTATATATATATATATTGTATATACATTGCATTTGTTTTCTTTGCTATAGATATATTTTAATATTCACAGAATCCCCAGCACAGCAGAAATCAGCCTGACGATAGTAGGTGGTGCACTGTGGGGAAGTCAGGCTGCATTGCATTGCACAGTATTGTGTGTACATTGTCAGGCATTGGTAGGTGGGTGGGAGGTGTTTAGGTAGTTTACGGTATCACAACGCACAAACAGGACCTCAGGTGTGTGCTGTTGCTAATCATATGCAAGGAGGGGAAACAGATGCAGATAACAGAAAGGGGCTTATTTATAACGTGTTTGCACAGCATAATACTGTGCGAGCTCTGTTCACAGCCCATTACGGCCACTAGATGGAGCTGACGAGCATAGGAACTTCCTATGAGTTCTGAATTATTGTATTTTTATTTTATAATAATAAGTGTTATTATTTTAGACTTGCTTTGATGGGAAAAACCTTAAAGGAGAGAACTATGAGTGCTTTCCACTCATAGTTAGAGCTGACCTGTGATAAAGAAGCTGTCACAGGTCGGCTCTATCAATCAGGAAGTGAGCAGAAACACGCCACCGATCCGCTCACTTCCCGATCGTCTCCCAGCAGTGAGTTGTGACTGTCAGTCATGGCTCCCCGCAGCGATCCCCCACTCCCCTTTCCGATCCTCCAGTGCTGACTGGCGGAACGGACGGGGGAGGGGGCGGGTACAGCTGGCTCTGCCTCTAGATAGGCAGAGGCAGAGCCAGCTGTCACTCTAGAGAGGCCCATGCGCTCTCAGTATACGCGGGCAATAGCTCGCTATAAACTGAGCTTTGGGTCACAGGAGGAGGTTAATATATGTCCTCCCGTGGCCCTAAATAGAACATTGGGGGAAAACACTTACCCCATAGTTCTCTTTTAAAGGCTCATTCATACCATTGAGCACACAATGTGCACTTAGTATGTGGTACTGTGCACTAGGTGCATTGCATTGCCAGCCATTGAATGGCACCCAATGCACCTCGCGGCGTCCATGCATTGCAGCGACATGTTCTGTACCACAATAACATGAGTTGTGTTGCGGTGTAAAAAAGTAGTGCATGCTGACTTTTTGTTCACTGCAATGCATGGCCGCCAAGTGGTGCATTAGGGCGCCTTTCCAATGAATGGCAATGCAACATACCTAGTGCATGGTACTGCATGCTAGGTGCACTGTGCAATGGCATTCTCTAAACGCACAGTCACGTTTGCTGGTGTGAATGTCACTTTCTGTCACTTTCCCGGGGATAAATCCTACAACGTATGTGCAGTGATTGGTGATGGGTCATTGTGTCGGTCTGCGCAGTGACTGACTCTCCTGAATGACCGCCAGTAGGCGTGCCAGCAACGCCGCCATTCAGATCGTCACCACTTATTAGTTGTATGTACATTATGGACATTAGATTCTTCTTTTGATTCATTTCAGGGATTTAAAACTGGATAATCTGCTTCTGGACTCAGAAGGATATGTGAAATTAGCAGATTATGGGCTCTGTAAAGAAGGTGAGTGCTCACTCTGTACAATGTGTGTCTAATGTAAAGGGTTCTGTACTATATAGGACGTATTTGAATACATTCTATTGTAAAGATACATACAGTATGTGAAGCAAATGCAAAGAAGAATGGTCACCAGTACTAAGAAAAGATGTCCTTGAGTTGGAAAAAGTCCAGCGGAGGGCAACCAAACTAATTAGGGGTATGGAGGACCAGAGCTACGAGACAAGGCTACTAAATTTAAACATGTTCACATTGGAGGTGAGGAGATTAAGGGGGGATATGATCTCCATGTACAAAATGTTCAATGGTGGTAGCAACATTAGCGATAAACTGTTTAAAATTAACTCCATTACAAAAACTAGAGGCCACCACCTAAAATTGGTGGAAAAAAAATTCCAGCACAAGGGGCGAAGGGGGTTCTTCACAGTAAGATCAGTTAGTGTCTGGAACTCACTGCCACAGACAGTGATTTCAGCAAAGAATGTGGAATTGTTCAAGAAACTTTTGGACGATTTCTTAAGGGACCGTAATATACAGGGGTACAGGTAATATACAGGGGTACAGGTACTCCTAGAATGAGATCCTAATAGGTTGGACTTGATGGACTAATGTCTTTATTCAACCTCAAATACTATGTAACTATGTAACTATGAATGAGGGAAGTGCTGTAAGCCATTGGAAACCAATCAGATATCAGTTATAGGGGTCAGTGAACGATGATTTCCGGTTGCTATGGGTTACTGCACATTGCACATTTTCATTGCTCTTCTTATTGTGTTCTTATTAAACCTGGACTGTAATGTTTGCATATAATTTGTCCCCCCTGGATCAACATGCTCCAAGTTTGGTGGCTCCTGTCAATGCCAATTACTAATAATTTGCCATTCTACCTTCTTACTGCCTATGCTCCCCTCCTTATCTTACATACGTGTTTCCATTAGGAATGGGCCCAGCTGTTCGTACCTCCACGTTCTGCGGCACCCCGGAGTTCCTGGCTCCTGAGGTCCTGACGGACGCCTCTTACACGCGGGCGGTGGACTGGTGGGGTTTTGGTGTTCTGGTCTATGAGATGATGGTTGGAGAGGTAAAGGGCTTTCTGTTAATGGGTCATTGTGTGCGTCAGTCTCCTCATTTAGGAACAATGGCAACAGCAGTCCCACTGGTTTCCACGTTAAGGAATGGCCCCAACCTCCTCCTAATTTACTATTACATCTGATGAAAGAGGATAAAACAATAACTTTGTTATTCTGCTTCTACCCCGTGTACATAATTTTGAGGGGTTTTGGGTTGAGGGATTAGAACCCCGGTCTGTTATTGTATTACTGTCTGTGTCCTCGTTAGGTAGGTTCGCCCCTTTGTCTTGCTGACCAATGGGATTTCCCTTTTAAGAGATTTCCTTTCACTTCCTGTTGTGGCTACAAGGCAGGAAGTGTAGGGAAATCCTCTCAGTGGGACGCAGGTGGGCAAACTTGATTGGATTGAGAGAAGGAGCAGTAAAGCGCAGGCATACTGTAGCACTGCAAAGCAGTTACAGAGTTAGGTTGAAAAAAGACCCAAGTCCATCGAGTTCAACCTGTAATACTTAGTGTCTGCAATGAGCAAACATGGCTGTGCCCATATACATGTATACAACTGCAAACTATACATACGGTATAGCTACAGTATTTCAAATATTTGAGGGACAGTATACTGGTTGCCGTGCGTTTTTACCGCGATTCACTGTAAAAAAACCGCGCAACAAACGCGCGTTTCCGAGGGCTACCTGGCTGTATCCCAATGGATACGCGCGGCAAATACGCCCCAAAAAAGCTCCTGTACTTCTTTTGGCGTAGGGCGTTTTGCCCGGGTGGGAACCATGTCCATAGGCAATCATTGGTTTTCACATGTTGAGCATTTTACAAAGCGTAGGAACGCGCTGTAAAACGCCCAGGTGTGAACCAGGCCTAAAGCACCAGGCAGGTAGTCAGCCAGAAGCATGCAGGATATCAGGAATCCAGATAAGCAGAGTCAAGCCGGGCCGGGTCAGTAACTGGCGAGCTGTGCAGTACAGAATCAGAAGACGGGAGCTGGGTCAGGACAAGCCGAGGTCAAGCCGTGCATGATAAGTGGTGCCGAATCAGCGGACAAGAGGCAGAGTGGTTTGGCGCCATGATTAGACATGAGCACGTGCACGCCAATCTGCGTGAACGCGTGCATCATAAATGTAGACAGCTATAGGGCCCATGTTGAAGGGTTTTGGGCTTGTGTTGATGGCATTGGGTTAGGATGCTTCTGAGATCCTTCAGAATTCATTTGATGGTGCCGTTGACCTGGCGTTGACCTCCTTCTGCATCAAACAGGTTTTGCATTTCCCATAGACTGATACATCTGGCAACTGGACTTACTGTACTTTTCCTGAAGACTTTCCACTAGACATCCGACCAGCTTTCTCAATTCAGAGCTGGTTGGATGACCAGTGAAACGTCTTCAAGAAAAATAAGGCAGTCCAGTTTCCTTGACTTATTTTTTACACATATACCATGTGACCTGGATGAATGAGATCCTTCCCAGACAATGTAGACTGATATGAACGAAAACCCATCAGCACAACCCCATGAACTCACATCCCTACAGAGAGTCCTTTCAGGCTTAGTATGTAACTTATGAAGTGATGGATCACAATACTTTCCAACAGAAGTAGTATTTTAGATGAGAGTCAATATAAACATTGATAGACATCGGTTATCAGCACAAATTAAGGCAAAGCCGGGGCTTCCCAATAGCATCCGGTGGCATTGAGATGTTTCCTTGGAGGTCGGCCGGACTAGATTGGATGATATCCTTCTACTGACCTGTGTGTTTGTCTCCTTCTGTCTGTTATAACTTTCTCCCTGTGTGTGTCACAGTCTCCGTTCCCGGGAGATGAGGAGGAGGAGGTGTTTGATAGTATCGTCAACGATGAAGTCCGATACCCACGATTCCTCTCTGCGGAGGCCATCGCCATCATGAGGAGGGTGAGAACATCAACTGTAGTAATACAATGCAATAATGATGATGGTAGTCAAACTATTAACACCCTAATATGTGTCACCCCGGCGGGGGGTATTTAAAGGAGAACTATGGGGTCAGGGCTTTTCCCCATAGTTCTCCTAAGGGTAACGGAAGGACACAAACTAGCGTCCTCCCGTCACCCTAAGCTCAGTATATAGGGAGCTACAGCTCGCGGTATACTGAGACGCCGCAGCTGAAGCGGATTCCGACAATTATGTCTGGATCCGCCCAGCTGCGTGAGTGACAGCTGGCTCTGCCTATCTAGAGGCAGAGCCAGCTGTACCCGCCCCTCCCCCGTCCCCTCTGCAGTGACAGGATCGAGAAGTGAGCGAACGCTGGTATGTGTTCGCTCACCTCCCGATCTACTGAGCCGACCTGTGACAGTCTCATTGTCACAGGTCGGCTAGAACTATGAGGATGAGTGAAAAGCACGCGCCTCATAGTTCTCCTTTCAATGCTGGCTGTATGCGTATGTGTGTCAGCCAACCCGCTGTTCTGTGCCGCGAGCGCGCTCCCAGCACCATGACCAAGCTATCACCAACAACTCCCGGTCACTGTCTGTGATCAGGAGCCAGTGGGATTGGATTCTGATCATGTGACCACTGTGACCGCCACAGTGATCACATGATCAGGAAGCCCACCTTTGACTGCCGACGTTAGCATTCCCTTAAAGGGGCTGCCGGAAGTCATCGGCAATGAGATCGAAAGTTTTTTTATCTAATTTCAAGCTTGATGAAAGGGAACCCTGTGTGGCCCCTGAAACGTTGCTATTTGGTTGGACATGAAGCGTCAATAAACAGACGTGTTCTTCACTTCAATATGGTGCGCTGCTGACATCTTTAACAGGTTTCAGAATTGGTGGCTCCATCTGCGGTCACTTCGAGCACCCACGCTGACAGGGCTACCCGGTAAGGAGTGCAGCAGGATTCTGGAATACAAAAGGGTTTTTATGAGACACTAATGAATATACAATCCGAAGTTGTAACCCTCCCCCACTCTACTGAAAATGTGTTTTTGATTCTGTCTGTGTCCCCTATGGAGAGATTTTCATCACTTCCTCTCCAGACCATAAGTGAGGGGACACAGGCAGCCAAAGGCTCAACCCCTTCCCCACTCAATCCAAAATAAAATAGTTTGGGCTGGAGTTGGGTTTTTTATGAATTGGGGTAGGAGAAGAAGGAAGCTTAGGAGGCAATAAGGATGATGTATCTAGGGCTGCAGCTAACGATTAATTTCATAATCGATTAGTTACCCGATTTATTTTTTCAACTCATCGATTGGTTGTATAAAAAAATATTATCTCTCCCCTTCTCTCTCTTTCTCTCTCTCTCTCTCTCTCTCTCTCTCTCTCTCTCTCTCTCTCTCTCTCTCTCTCTCTCTCTCTCTCTCTCTCTCTCTCTCCCCTTCTCTCTCTTTCTTTCTCTCCTTCCCCAACCAACTAATCAATGATGAGAATAGTTGCCAACTATTCTCATCGATTATTGTCGATTAGTTGTTGCAGCTCTAGATGTATCAAGCTATAGACATGTGGCCTTTCATCCCTCTCCTGAGTTGAACGTTATAAGATAAATACAATTTCGTAGTATTTTTGTAAAAGTGGAGCTCTATGGTAGAGGACTGTCTATGATGCCCACACCCACCTATCAGATTCAATTTATAGGACATCAAACGCCAATCTGAAACTTTGAATTTTATTGGTGGCTGAAGGCAATGATGGACATCACTTGTGTAAAGTTGGCCATACACCAGCAGGATTTTGTTCAAAACCTTTAGTTTTTGGAACGTTCTTTGGATTTTCTAATAGGTAATGGGGACAATGGACAACATTGGTTCCCACCACCACCAACAACCAACAATAAAAATCAGCAATGGTTTCCACCACCAACAACTGCAAAATGAAATAAAACCAATGACAGTTTTCCAAAAATTGAAGAAGGATGGACATTTTTTCTTGGCTCTTAGTTGAAGAAGTTAAATTCTAACTGAATCAGTGACGTGGCGTGCCTTCTGTGCTGGGTGAGGCACCCCCCAGCCCGCCGAAGCTCCACCCCCATCCCGCCAAAGCTTCTCCCCCAGTCCGACGAAGCTCCTCCCCGTCCCACCAAAGCTTCTCCCCCAGCTCGGTAACCAAGCTGTGTGGGGAGGAGGAAGGGAGGAGACAGGGAGCAGCCTCCCTGTCCCTCACTTGCGAGGCATGGAGATCACAAACACAGTATAAGGAAGAGTGCAACAACCTGAGTAGATACTTATTGGGTATAGCATAACAGTTGATCAATGGATGAATGCTGCCCAGTCTGCTGTGACTGGCTGGGTCATGAGGGTTAAAAAGTATATGTATAACTTACGGTTATGCTGTCACAGGGGAGCAAACAGTATCTCTGCATGCATTTGACAAAGTTGGATGTACTGCCAATTCGGAAGTCCAGGGTATTCCCAGGGTATCTCCAGCCCGCGTACTCGGCTGGCCTGGCTGAGCCGCGGCACTTGGAGGAAGGAGGGGGGAGGAAGATCTTGCCCGGCAATAAAAAACCGCGCTGTGTATCTGTGCGGCGTGTGTCGCAAGCGTGGAGCGGTCAGACCCAGTGGGTGGATCGGTACTCGTGGGTCTGAACGAGTATGGAGGTTGTAAATAGGCAGTGCTAATGGCTACGCGTTTCGAGTTAGTCCTCTTTTTCAAGCCTAAGAGCGGAGGCATGGAGATCGATGGCCTCAGTGGGTTTTTTTTTTTTCGTTTTTTTGATTGGTAAGCTTGGACCGACTCCGCCCCCCCTGACCGCACGTCCCTGCTGTGAATGTGTCTCCCGGCCGGGAAAATTTGAAATTATTGTGATGCTCCAGAAAAAACTTTAATCTGGAGGCAGAACTTTCATTATCATGGATATTTGTCTGCGTAATCTATCCCGAAATTGAACGTTGGAATTTGGCACATCGGCATGGCAATGGAAGGAAATATCCAAAATGTGTCTATGGTCCATGGTGGTACCATTGGCGTTGACGAACAATTTTTAAAATTTCCGTATTAACGTCTGAACCGAATTCTTCCGCTTAAGAGTCTTTTTGTAAATGGGGTTCCAAAGTGGTTTCATGTCCTCTCTCTTTCTGCAGCTACTTCGGAGGAATCCCGATAGACGTTTGGGATCTGGGGAGCGTGACGCCGAGGATGTGAAGAAGCAGCCGTTCTTTAAGGTGAGCCGCCGTGGGGGTACCATTATGAGAAGCAGAGACTGATCCCCAGGAGGAATCATAGACCGTAATTCTATAGATCACATCCAGACTATGCACATCAGGGTTTTCTGACCTATAAGAGTGGCCTCTTCTGCCTCTGCCTCTCCCTCCTCTGCAACTGCTCCTCTTTCCTCCGCTGCTCCTCTTTCTTCCGCTGCTCCTTTCTCCACCTCTCCTCCCTCAAGGACTTCCCAACCCTCCACTGAGTAATCTGCAGGGAGCCGCAAGAGCAAGCTCCGGACAAGCCAGGCCGCGGTGCACGCCACCACAAAAAGTGCCGCTGTGGACCAGCAAGGCACCGCTGGACAAGAGCAGGAAGACGCTGAGGAGCACATGCAGGAGGAGGATATCGAGGCATCGGAGACCGCAGTGGTGGAGGCCGACCCCCACCCGGGGGAAGACCCCTTCGCCTGCCTCAACGAGGTGATCGAGGAACTCCTGCTGCATAGAACTGTCGAGCAGGACACGGGTCAGTCCCCTGAGACAGCGGATGGACCCGACCCCCTCTAGTCTGTAGTCACCGCTCCAAGCTCACTCCTGGGACGGACTACAATCTCAGGTTTAGGGGGTTATTCACTATTGAGCCGAAGGATACAGTCGTAGCTTCGGATGATCCTTTGGCTCTCTTTGGCTGCCGGAGCCCTTCGGTTCAGTGCTGTACTGTACTATTCACAATAGCCCGTACAGCAGCCGAGCGGCTCAGCCGAGCCGAAGGCATATGCTTAGGTTCGACTGAGCCGAAGTGACAGCCGAAGTGACAGCCGAAGCGGGGCGAAACCAGCCCACCCCGTAAACGACAGCTGGTCTCACGGCTGACTCCGCCCAGTTGTAATGACAGATCAGCGTCCCCAAATGACCTGGGGACGCTGATCTGTCATTAAACAATAACAACGGGGAGTCCCGGCCGGCTCCGCCCAGTTGTTATTCATTGGCTGGGACCTGCTAAAAGACTGGCAGGTGCCGACCAATAGGAAACAATTTGTTTATCTTTTTTTTTTTTCTTTAAAATATCTTTATTTATTTATTTTTTTCCTATTTATTTATATTTTAAGAAATAATTTTCCAACTCTTTTTTTTCCATTCTTTTCACTTAATTTCTATTCTGCTCGGCACCACGGGGGTACCGAGCACAATAGCCGAGCCGAATGCCGCTCAGCTGCATTTGGCTATTCACTCACTGCCGTTCGACCCCTATGTGAATAGGGGCGAACGGCAGCGAGTGAGCTGCTGGAGCTTCAGCTCATCCCATCCAGATGTTGGATCAGCTGAGTCGAAGTCCCTCTGCACTTCGGCTCAGCCGAACATCAGCCGTACAAGCCAGAAGTGAATAGCCGAACATCATTCGGCTCACGTCACTTTGGCTGGGTTATTCACCCGGCTGCCTTTGTAAATAACCCCTTTAGTGTACTCATTCGTATTGAGATTGTAGTCCATCCCGGGAGCGAGCTTGGAGCGGTGACTACTGTACAACACACACAGAGACCATGGGGAATGGCAACCAGATGACAGGGGCGGCAGGGTTAGTTTTATTTTTTTTATCACTTTTTTATTTTTTAACATTTTTAGCTTATCGTTTACTTTTCTTATTTTTTATAATTTTGTTATCTTATTATTGTTTATTTATTTTTTATAATTATTTTCTTATTTCTTAATAATCTTTTTCTTATTATTTTTTACTTTTTAATCACCTTTTTATTTTATTTAATTATTATTTCTTATTATTTTTTT